AAACATCCTCGACTCTAATTTGATCAAAACTAGATAGGGGCCTAACACTACACGATCACCTGAAAATCACATCTGAAAAAGGGTGGACTACTTTTCTATCACTTTAAAGAGGGTAAGTGTGCTTCTAAAGTGTAAATAACCTACAAACAAAGTCTACATGTGAAAATAAAAACTTGACAAAGTTCTACATTTTAGGGTACATGTTCCAAGTGTGGCCTTTATTTACAGAGGTAGTCCAGTAAATTGGCCACATTTATGTAGTTCTGACGCCTATTGGGTAGAAAAATACTAATTATGATAATTTAGTAAAAAAAAATCATGCCAAACAATTCTGAGATGGGTTGGACAAAATGTAACGTGAGTAACTGTAACGTGAGTAACCATGTTTTTTGTGGATTGCAAAAAAAAAATGGGAGATTTTGGAGGATTTGTTTTACTCTTATTATGTGTGCCCCATGGCATGGTCTTTTATCCATTTAAAAGAAATTTCCACAGGTTGCTTGTATGAGGACACTTTTTGATCAAAGCATGTTTTCTTTTTATGCATGTCCAAAAATGTAACGCGAGTACCCGATTTCGGGCGTCTTGTTTAGGCCCAAAAAAAAAATATTCGGTCTCTGGTCAGACCAAAGTTCCGGAATTGACGCGACGACGCGGCTTTTTTTTTTCTTTTTTTTTTGCATTTTTTTTTTCTTTCTTCAAGCTTGAATTGTACAGACAAGGTGGGGTACTATTTTGCTTTTTTGGTGTCCTCATGTACATTGGTGTCCTCCATAATTTGCCTTGGTGCTTTCGATCATTTGCCTTGGTGCAATTTCCCATTCCTTGTGCTCTTTGGTAAAAACAAGGAGGGGTGGAAATAGAGGGCGCTGTTGGAGCTACCGCAGAACATTTTGGGGAAAAAAAGAGATTGACGCGCATGTTTAAAATCGACGCGCACGCTGACCAGAGATCAACTGATTTTTTTTTTTGGCCTTATCATACATAACACATTTTTCTGGATGTCATCTTTGGTGCTAAGGTAGGGCTAAGTCTACTCTATCTACCATGGGAATAACACTTATTAAACCTTTTCAGTAAGGTAATTACAGCCCAAGGAAACTCAAAAGTACATCAAAAACGTAACGTGAGTAACCGTGGAATTGCCCATATGTACGTGCACAGTAACAAATTAAATGGGTGTGTGGTCCGGTATATACCACGCACGCATTGACTGCAGCACTGGTCATTCAATAAGACAACCCCTAAAATGGACAGAGCGCATACATGTGTATAGACTAGAGGGCGTACTGATATTGATATGCTCACGATGCATATGTGATGTATGCAGTAGGACACCCTTTTTCGACACCGATGCATGCAGCGATCACAGGCCGTGCGAAACCACTTTTCACTCAACACTTTGCCAATCGCAGTACAGGAAGTCGATGCCAATGCGTGATTTGTTGAATGCCGACTTACACAAAAGATTTTGTGATGCTTTTTATGGAAATGGGACCGAGAGTAACACGACGACTTGAGCGAAATGGCGACTTTTAAAAGCCAACTAAGAAATAAAAAATTCAATGGAAATGCATTACGGACAATCGGGACTTTCAAATGAACTACAAGCAAAATCAAAATGTGAAAATAAAAACTTGACAAAGTTCTACATTTTCGGGTACATGTTCCAAGTATGGCCTTTATTTACGGAGGTAGTCCAGTAAATTGGACACATTTATGGGGCTAGTCACAACGAACGTGTTCATGGTACTCTGGTACCCTGAGTTAAGTTGCGCATGCACAACACGGCGGGAGTCCCACCAGTTGGTACCCGACCACCTGTCTTACATGGCAGGATGACCGTAATACCATGTTAAAATTCTGCTTCACTCCAAAAATCTGTCAAATCACCCAGGAAAAAAAAAAAAAAACTAACAAAAAAAAAATGATAAATTTTAAGCAGGGACATCAGTTTGGCCTCTTTGTCTGTTGCATCTAGCCCATGTAAAGCTGGTACTGGTATGTCATTTCCCGAGTCCAAGTGGCGACCATTTAAAAAAAAAAAGCTGGTGGCCATCTTGAAAAATAGCCCGGTTGGGTGGCCATTTTGGAGGGGAACAAAAAAGGGGGCCTCCTTCCTTGTTTTTCAAAAAGGCAGGACACTGAACATGTGGTTTTTTTACTTGGCCTAAGAACATACGTACAAGCCTGTACATTGTATGTCACAGATAAAGGACAGGGTTTTGAATTTTGAGGGAAATTTGGAGGTAAAATGACGATGACGACGACAAAACACATCACGAAAATAAAGATAGTGATCACCGGTTCACAGTACGAAGCACCGAGAACACACAAGGCGCCCTGTAGCCCGAATGCCTCTGATAGTAGAGTACGGCCAGAGGCATTCGGGCTAGGTGTGCTGAATCGCATGGCACCTGAATCGAAATTTCTACCCCAAGAAACTGTTCAAAACGTACAAAAAAAGGTGTCATTATATTGAGAGAAGTCTGCTTTATGTTAAAAAGGGGGTCTACCCGATCATGGGCGATGTTCTCCAATACCTATGTTCCCCAATACCGATGTTCCCCCGAAATTCTTAGGATTACAGTTAGGGGTAGGGTTAGGGTTAGGGTTATAAAAAACATCCTCGACTCTAATTTGATCAAAACTAGATACTAACACTACACGATCACCTGAAAATCACATCTGAAAAAGGGTGGACTACTTTTCTTTCACTTTAAAGAGGGTAAGTGTGCTTATAAAGTGTAAATAACCTACAAACAAAGTCTACATGTGAAAATAAAAACTTGACAAAGTTCTACATTTTAGGGTACATGTTCCAAGTGTGGCCTTTATTTACAGAGGTAGTCCAGTAAATTGGCCACATTTATGGGGCTAGTTGTGACGTATTTTTCATCAAATTTCTTGGCAATGACAGATCCAACACTCACATAAATTAACAGAAAGCCTAACAAGTAAGTGATTAACCTAAAGGAAAATATTACATGTAGTTTTAAACTCTTATGTGAAATAACGTGCCGCATGACAATTTTGAGTGTATTTACGCCTGGACGGAGCGTGGTGTTGTTTACAACGCCATGTTCACGGGTCTAGCTAGACGCGACTCTAGGCTAGGGTGAAATGATTGTAGGTCAACTCGCGGCCATCTTGAAAATGGAGGGGAACTCATTGCCCGCGGTTGCGGCGTGAAACGCTATGGAGCCATAAACAACAGTTGAAGAATTTCCGGTACAAATACAAGAAACTAGTGATCATTTAATAAGAATTTGTGTTGGGAAAACCTTACCAAGTCGGAAATATAGGTTGATGGTGTGAGCTTAGGCACTGACCGATATAGCGCAGCGTGAGTTTTCGAGGAGTGCCCATGGGGCCTGTGTGCGAAGCTGCCGGTCAACTTCGCGGTCTGTGCACGTGCTGCCAACATCTTTGGACAGGCACCCCATGACAAGTAATTCTCTCCCACTACATTTTTATGCCAACTTTTCGATAACAATAAACAGGAACTTGATGGAACTTCTTCTTTTTTCAAAGCTTGGATTGTACAGACAAGGTGGGTACTATTTTCCTTTTTTTGTGTCCTCATATACATTGGTGTCCTCCATCACTTGCATTTGTGAAATTTCCCCATTCCTTGCTGCTCCTTGTTACAAAAATTTGAGTTGGTGCGGCAACAGAGATCGCTGTTGTAGCTACCGTGGACAATTTTGGGGAAAAAAAGATTGACGCGCATGATTAAAATTGACGCACGCGCTGACCAGAGACCGAGTATTTTTGGGGGGGGCCTATAGCAAATAAATGAAAGATTCCTATTTGAGTTTTGACTTCAGACATTTTGTGAAATGTTAATTTATTTCAAATTGTTACAACTCAATGATTGCCCCGAGTAAAAGTCTAGTTATGGAATATTGCTTCACGAATCTACTTGCAGTATTACTTGCACTATTACAGTAGTACATTATTGTAGGCTTTTTGAGTTTTGACTATCAGAAATGTTGTGAAGTGTAATTTATAAGAACACCCATAAAACACCCCCCCCCCCCACCCTCCAAAAAAGAAGGACAACTAGAAGGGCATCGTTTTCATCCTTGTCCCAGCCCAAACAAATAACTTTACTAATATTTTTTGTACATTTTAAATATAAATAGTTAAAACACTTTTAAATCTTTGTAGCGGACCACGTACATGTACACATAGGCGCTCCATACTTTTGTATCCATTGATTAACCTTTGACCTTCAGATGAATGCTGGGAATTGTGTTGTGATGTAAGAAGGCGGATTGTTTGCAATCGCGGACGAATAAAGTATCAATATAAATCCAGTAAGATCGACTCATGTCACAAGTTCCTGTTTAGGCAAATCATCAAGTAACTTCGCCTGTTACATCTTTAACGGAAATAATGGACTGCGAAGTTGACCGGCTGCGCTATATCGGTCAGTGCCCAAATGTGCTCCCACTGTCCAACACAAATTCTTCAAAATTTGTCAAAGGACTTTGTGATATTAGGACCAGAAAATTGAACATTTAACCGTTTGTGTTTTTTGCTTTATCCATGTGTTGTCAGTCATCATCCACATAGATCGAGAACTGTAGCGATTGTAGCGATTAACCCAATTATTGTTGTGAACAAGAAACTGTTACTAAACGTTTGTGCTGTTGTCAGGAAGACTATTCAGCCATTCTGTTGTCGTAGCTATGGATAGATCAACCTACCTCAATCGCTTTACCGCCGACCACATTGGCCAACTGTGTGAACTAAATCATATTGATGTGACCACCATCAAAACCATACCAGAACACATAACTTGTCTCGCCGAGTTGCCACACATGGTAGAAGAGTTTCCCATGCCAAACCGAAAGTAGAGACCCTTGATCTGCTCAAGATAATTCAGGAACTTAAAGCAAATCGACGCCAGGACACTGAGAAACTTTGTCAAACACTCGCTTGTGCTGTTGCTACCAAAATGCCTCCCGTCGTGAATGTGGGCCCCAAATTACCTGACTTTCACAAGCTAGGGCCTGATGATGATGTGGCATGTTACCCGAGTACCTTTGAGCGTGTGGCCGTTGCTGCCAAAAAAAAAAAGAAAGATCAGTGGCCCCGCCTATTGGAACCCTATCTCACCGGCAAAGCCCAGAAAGCATTCCACTCCTTGAGTGATACAGATAACCAGGACTATGACAAGATCGTCGAGGTCGTCCACCTTTGCTACTTCTTTACCCCCCAAGGCGTATCAGCTGAAATACAAGACAGATGTGAAAAAATCGGATGAGACATTCGAAGAGTTCGCTCATTGTCTTGAGTGGAACTTTAACAAATGTGTTCAACTATCAAAAGAAAAACTGAACGATGCAGACACCAAACGAGCATTCAACCTTGTCTTGACAGATCAATTCCTGTCTGTCACAGGGGATGAACAGCTTTGTCTGAAACTGAGGGAGAAAAAGTTTGCCTCGCTGATGGAAACTGCCAAGACAGCCGATGAACTCATCCTTCATTGCCAATCAAACAATCTCCAGACACCTACCGGACCCCAACCGAAACCTGACTCACCGCCAACCACCATTACTGGCCGCACCGAACCATCTACTCGACCTACTACTACCACCAGACCAGACCAGACCAGACCAGACCAGCCTCATCGTAACCTGTACAACATCGTGTGCTACAAATGCAACCAAATTGGACACAAGGAGTCCGAATGTACCTACCCTGCCCCACCCCAAAAAGCAGACTCATACTCCCTTGGTGAAAATGAACACTAGTCCGGGTAGCCGAGTGAATCTCATCCAACAACACACCCCACCCCTTGATGTGGACTCAACAATTGACCCTCGCACACGTCGTGCATGTAGCCCTCTGATTGAGGCCAAGATAGGCGACAGTTTCCGAGTGATTGCTTTGGTGGATACTGGGTCCACACTGTCATTTGTCACTGACGAGTTTTGTGCTCAACTGCCAACATCCGTGCCTGACTCGTCCCCTGTTCAGACACTTACTGGATGGGACTTACAACACTGGGAACAATCACGTTGCCTGTTGACGTTGGTGGAGAAACCACAAACATTGTGTTGCACCCCTCCGCTCATAAAGGAGGACAATCATCAACTACAAGCAGTCCCTAAAGTGCTCCAGGCTGAAAGTGTTGCCCCAAAGCCAGTGCCAGGTGCGATGGAGCATAACCCCACTCATGCTGAACAGTTCCAGCAATACTTACGCCCCTGTGTCGTAAGAGACACAGAGACAGCCTGAGAGAACCCCTGTGGCGAAATGGAGTTCCGGGCCCTGATGTCTGCACCAACCCCATTCCAGCCCACAAGCGTCCCCATGAGGAACAACAGGAAGATCCAAGTTGGCAAGTGTCACTGTGTCATCTGAAATAGTCATCGCCCATGTCGACTGCGTCTAACTCTGCATGAGACAGACTCTCAGCCGGAACACTGTGATCATCAGCGACTCTGAACACTTCTGTTCATGTACATGTGTTGTTCTAGCTGCGCTGGAATTTGTTGAGGCCCAAAAGTTCATGTTTTGTTGTTAAAACCAAAAAAAACCAAGTCAGGTGTGTTTACAAACACAAATGCCCCGCAACCGTGACTGTTTCCATGACATAACACCACTCTTTTAACATCAACTTACATTGTACATGTACCTTGGTCACATGAAACGTTCATTGACAGCATTAGTGTCTTCTGTAGGTATTATATGAATTAATCCCTAATCCCTATGATCTCAGAATAAATAGGGCCTACAAGATTTCTATTGTTTTAGCCACTGTGACCTTGACCCTTAACCTTTCGACCCCCAATGCGATAGGCCTATTTGGATTACCAAGAACGATCCACAAACCAAATTTGAAGTTCACATGTAAAGTATTTCTCAAGTTATCGCGCTGACAAAATTTCTTTTGTTTTAGCCACTGTGACCTTGACCCTTGACCTTTTGGCCCCAAATGCAATAGGCTTCTTAGGATTGCCAAGGACAATCCACAAACCAAATATGAAGTTCATATGTAAAGTATTTCTCAAGTTATCACGCTGACAAAATTTCTTTTGTTTTAGTCACTGTGACCTTGACCCTTGACCTTTTGGCCCCAAAAGCAAAAGGCTTCTTAGGATTGCCAAGGACAATCCACAAACCAAATTTGAAGTTCATATGTAAAGTATTTCTCAAGTTATCGCGCTGACAACATTTCTATTGTTTCAGCGACTGTGACCTTGACCCTTGACCTTTGAGCCCCAAATGCAAAAGGCTTCTTAGGATTACCAAGGACACTCCACAAACCAAATTTGAAGTTCATATGTTAAGTATTTCTCAAGTTATCGCGCTGACAAGACACACACACACACCCACCCACCCACCCATACACACCCACACCCACCCCCCCACCCACCCACACACCCACCCACGGAAGGACAAGGCGGAAACAGTATGCCCCTTCGGCTTCGCCGCGGGGCATAACAAAACGCTAGAGACAATCAAAGGAAGAACACACTAATTTCTTTTGATCCCTTTTGATTCGGTCAGCTTTAATTCCAGTATTAGTTCACCTGCATTCCTTGTTTTTTGATACGGCGATTGTTCCGATTTACATTAGGCTTTTACTTAGTCATGCCAGAAACTGAAGTTGGAGAAGTTGTGCGTACTACATTGTATCTATGCCAACAAAATAAGTTCTCTAGTAGTACAACATTCCACCCAGATGTGTTCCGTTGGTACGTGTGGACTTAAGTTGCAAAAATGTTTCTTAAGTGTAGACATTATGAGATCACCTTAATTCCATTTTTTATGTATGTACTTATGATCAGAACTCTAGAATTTCCATCCCTCAGATTGAGTGACTGGACTTTGGAGGGGAAAGTGTAGCGGACCACATACATGTACACATAGGCGCTCCATACTTTTGCATCCATTGATTAACCTTTGACCTTCTGATGAATGCTGGGAATTGTGTTGTGATGTAAGATGGCGGATTGCTTGCAATCACGGACGAACAAAGTATCAATATAAATCCAATAAGATCGACTCATGTCACAAGTTCCTGTTTAGGCAAATCATCAAGTAACTTTGCCTGCTACATCTTTAACAGAAATAATGGACCGCGAAGTTGACCGGCTGATGCACGCATGGGTGAAAAATCACACTGCGCTATATCGGTCAGTGCCCAAATGTGCTCCCACTGTAGAACACAAATTCTTCATAAAGGATCTCTGGTTTCTTGAATAATTTGTATCGGAAATCCTTCAAAATGTTGTTTAAATAAGATAGTGGATATATTGCCGGCGGTAATCCCGGCAAGCTAACGTTTACTAAAGGTTTGCCGACGGAAATTCTTATCAACAGAGGGCGCTGTAGTCTCTAAGATAGGGCTGAATTATAAGATAATTACCACCAACAGTTGTGTAGCACCTGTAGTCTAGTGGATAAGCAACGGATCTCATACATGAGCGGGAAGAGCCGAGTTCGATCCCCGCTGGCGACATTTCTAAGGTTTTTTTTCCCCATTTCCCCAAAATAAGAATTTTCTTTTTTATATTATTTTAACATGTCTCAAACATTTTATTGAAGAGTAGATTACATTTTCTTTTTCAGATTTGTGGCTCTGGAGGATTTTTTTTAAGGCAGTGGATATTTAGCCGGCGACGGAAAACCTTTAACTTGCCGGATATGCACTGAACATGCGCAGTTAGTGGTTACTGTTTATTTGTTCTAAGACATTTTCCAGTGACAAATTTTAGTCTGGTTCCATGCCCACATTATCGTTGAAACTTCGCATTCACAAGATGGGAATCAGACCATTTTACAATTTCGGACTTTATTTCCCTTTAAAAAAAATCCTCCAGAGCCACAAATCTGAACAAGAAAATGTAATACATTGCAATAAAATGTTTGAGACATGTTAAAATAATAAAAGAAGAATATTCTTATTTTGGGGGGATGGGGAAAAAAAACTTAGATATGTCGCCAGCGCGGAACGGAATCGAACCCGGGTCTTCCCACTCATGAGATCCGTTGCTTATCCACTAGACCACAATTGCTACACAATCGTTGGTGGTAATTTAATATCTATAAGAGAGAGTTTTACTCAGCCTCCGAGACGATGTTGCTCCTAAAAGGATCCGAGACCGCGGGCTCCCGCGGTGCCAAAATCGCTCCACATCCGTGGGAAAATGCGGAGGGTGTCTTCCGCCGGGTCAGACACTTCGGGTCGTCCTAATTTTCCCATACAAACTGGCGATCCGCTTCGTCGATTTTTCGTGACTGCGTTTTGCGCAGGAATTTGCCGTCATCGTGTGTGCTTTCACATTGACTGCCTGGCCGCCCCCTGTGCTGGCTTTTCTGAAAGTCTAGACTGTGCGAGGTCAGCGGCTTCGACGTAGGGGTTCCGTTTACATGTTCTACTTGGCCGTTCTGCAAGTGTTCACCAAACGGTTGTATGGGGTGACCTTGGTAAAATATTTGTTTGTCCATGGTGCGTGGCCACCAAGTGTCCCTATTCTTTCATATGCTTTGCTTGTTGCCCCTGCGCTGAGTGCAACAAATACTCAGAATGACTACACATTAGTATGCCTTGCGCGGTCCGACCAATCGAAAGTGAACACTGTGTACTTCCGGGGTCTGCGTAAAACCGTCGATGGCAACGCGTACTGCAGCATGCTCCACACCCTGGAAACGAGGTTGGGTCTACGGTGCTCGCCATTGCACAAGCATGTGACGTCGCGTGATGGAGTGCTGTTGCTTCCATAATGTGTTTACAGCTCCATGCTTTCACTAGCTCTATGCTTCCACCAAGGCTGAGCGCTGTAAGTTCGCTGCCCGCCACGTCACGGTATAATTCAGTGTCGTGTTTGGGACCAACAAAGGATCGATGCATTGCTTCAAATATCGCGATCTTGAACGCAGGCGCAAAAAAAACGACAAAACAGATAGCCGGTCCGTAAGGAAAAAATAGGACAACCTGAAGTGCTTGATTTAGAGGAAGAAATTCTCCGTATTTTTCTATGGACGTGGAGCCATTTTGGCGTCGCGGTCGCGATCTTGAACGCAGTCACAAAAATCGACAAAACTGATCGCCGGTCCATACGGACAAATTAGGACGACCTGAAGTGCTTGATTTGGCAGAAGAAATTCTCTGTATTTTTCTATGGACGTGGAGCCATTTTGGCGTCGCGGGAGACCGTGGTCTCTGATCCTTTCAGGAGCGAACATTTCTCGGAGGCCGAGTAAAACTTGCTCTTATAAAGATGGTTGATCAACTTGTATAAAAGTTGAATCGACTTTTTCCTCGCAGACGGTCTCGCAAATTGTGAGAAGTTTACGTTTGTTGAAGAGTCCAATACTGAAAGTAAATTATGACCTTCCTCCATCATTCAGACCCTTTGTAATTCTTCCCCGAATAAAAATTGTAGCCTACTATAATGATTCTATTGCTCAGAATACCGTGTAGCTGATTCAATTACCCCAAGCTCGAAAATGATGTTTAAAAGATGATCTTTTGCTCAAATTGGTTTTAGTGGTCAGAAATTGCCTCAGATCACACCACAAAAATTGCTTTTCTATAACTGCATGTCTCCTCAATGATCCCCCATTTACATTTAACTGCCCACATTTTCATCCCCAACACTATGCCCTATATACCCGATCTATGATCGGGTAAATCAGCTTGTATCTTATAATTCAGCCCTATCTTAGAGACTACAGCGCCCACTGTTGATAGGGATTGCCGCCAGCAAACCTTTAGTAAACGTTAGCTTGCCGGGATTACCGCCGGCAATATATCCACTATCTTATTTAAACAACATTTTCTTTTTAAAGGGAAAAAATGTCTGAAATTGTAAAATGGTCCGATTCCCATCTTGTGAATATGAAGTTACAACGATAATGTTGGCATGGAGCCAGACTAAAATTTGTCACCGGAAAATGTCTAACTTTAAGTAACAAAAAACAGTAACTGCGCATGTTCAGTGCATATCCGGCAAGCTAACGTTTAGGCCTACTAAAGGTTTGCCATCTCCGGCTAAATATCCACTGCCTTTATAATTTGGCTCCATAGCGTTTCACGCCGCGACAGCAGGCAATGACTTCCGGCCCCTCCATTTTCAAGATGACCGCTGAATGTGCAGCCATACTGCCAAGTGCCATACTGGGCCTATACTCGTGTACCCTAACGTGGCGCACTTCGAAGCTTACCCGACTTTCCTCGTGTAGTGTTGCCAAACCTCTTTGTTGACAAACCTCAAATTCATGCAATGAAATACTAGTACTTTTACCTTATCAATGCTTGCTATTTTACCTCTGTGAACAATTTCAGTTTCATAAAATTTAATCCGAAATTCAAAAACGGTGGTGTCCAGAAATTGGGCACAAAGTGGCGTAGCCCCACTAGTGTGGCCGTCGGTATGCTGCGCTGAACCTTTGGCCACACACCGTGGTACCGCGCGCTACTGAGGACGAAGTTTTCATAAAAATTCAGGGCAGTTTCTTACATTCTCAGTTTCTTACTTTCTTATGGTTGTATTCTATGATGTCTCACCTGTCACTTCTGGGATGCTTAGGTCTAATGATGTTCCATTTTCCGAGATATTCTTCAATCTTTCTGGAGCCCATATGCACTCGTGAAACGTCTGGTGGTGGCAGCCATTTTGAATGTGACAAGAGATGACCTCAAGCTGTGACGTCGCGTTTATGCAAATTGCTTGTCGAGCGCGCGAGGGCGCGAGTTGCAAATGCGACGGCTGTTTTCTGTGCCGTAGATCCTGAATAGAGATCGGTGCACGTGGCCCCCTGACGATAAATGCATGGTACAGGAAACAGCCGTCGCATTTGCAACTCGCGCCCTCGCGCGCTCGACAAGTAATTTGCATACACGCGACGTCACAGCTTGAGGTCATCTCTTGTCCCATTCAAAATGGCTGCCATCACCAGACGTTTCACGAGTGCATATGGACTCCAGAAAGATTGAAGAATATCTCGGAAAATGGAACATCATTAGACCTAAGCATCCCAGAAGTGACAGGTGAGACATCATAGAATACAACCATAAGAAAGTAAGAAACTGAGAATGTAAGAAACTGCCCTGAATTTTTATGAAAACTTCGTCCTCAGTAGCGCGCGGTACCACGGTGTGTGGCCAAAGGTTCAGCGCAGCATACCGACGGCCACACTAGTGGGGCTAAAAGTGGCGGAGTGTTCCCTAACGTGGCGCACTTGAATAAATCTTGGAAAATTCCAAATTAACACTTACGAATTCCTGTAAACTTGATAAATTCTGATAAGTAATCAATATCTTTACTTACATACCCAGCCAAATGTTTGTCAGAAAATTATTTTCTTATTTTTCAGGGCATTTTCAAAGGGTTCACTTTGCACTTGAAAATAAAATCGGAAAATCACACCAAAATAGCTTTCCTTCTAACTTTGTTACGGGTAAATAAACTCGCGATTTATGAACAGGACCGTTTAGAAACTTGATGAAATTTCACTTTCTGTGAAATTTCAGTTTAAATTTTTGCTCTAGCCTAGAGCAAAATTTTAAACTGAAATTTCACAGAAAGTCTAGGTAGGCGCTACCGGCGAAAAATCCAAGTGCGCCACATTAGGGGCCGCGCCACGTTAGGGTACATCAACAATACTTATCCAGGGGGCGAGTTGGTCAGGGGGCGAGTCGGTCAGTGGGCGAGTTGGCTAGGAGGGGAAGGGGCGAGTCGGCCAGGGGGGAGTCGGCCAGGCGGCGAGTTTGTAAGGGGCGAGTCGGTAGGGGTCGAGTCGGTAAGGGGCGAGTCGGCCAGCGGGCCAGGGCCCTGGCATGCCAGGGGGGCGAGTTGACCTGACACCGGTGTCCGTTAAATTGGGCTAGGGCTAGCTGGAGTTACCCAGCCCTGAGTTTTATCATTGGGTTGTCATCCTAGATGACAACCCAATGATAAAACTCAGGGCTGGGTAACTCCAGCTAGGCTAGGCCAGGGCCTAGGCTATAGAATATATACCTTTCCAGTGAAGGACATCATACAGCTAGCTGCCTTCGCTGGAACTGCACGCGGTGAATGAAACACACAAAGGACAAACGTACGACTAATGCTAAGTAAGGTTAAGAAGTTGGTCTAAGTAAGTCAACCCTTGTATTAGTGCGTGCGGCGGGAACCGGTACCCGCCGTATATGCGCACACTTACTGCATGCGGATCGGAATGCGATCTTTGAATTTATATTTATTGACGTATGACATTATGATCGACGCATGCGCGCGTGCCATCAAGGGCCAGTGTCATATGAAAATTGAACTTCTATGAAAGTCGGACTCCTTTGCCTAAACCCTCATGTGATGTGCACGTGACCAGTCACTCTCCCATTAATATGGCGCTATGCACCAACCTCGTGCCCCGTGGGTACGATCTTGCAGCGCCATGTTGTTTCCCATCATGCCTTGCGCGATCGTAACCCCTGGAATTATGTAATTTAAATATACCAAAATACAGTACATTATAATTAGGGCTGCAGTTTATCCGTTTTACATGCCGACGCCATCTTTAAAATGTTAAAAGTTGTGATTTTGAAGAATTAATCCTTTCAAACACAACGTTTGGAAGTTGTGTTAATTAGCAAAGATTTGTATTAAATGTACGTATCCTTTCTGGCCTTTACAACCACAGATACAGGGGGTTTGACATAATCCATATCGTACAGGCATCGCGACTTTTAAATCATAATTATTTTTTTTGTACGTGACGTTACGTGCAAAGCTAAGCACGCGAGCGCGAGCGCATTATGGGCGCGCCCGGCGTGCAATCTTCGAAATACCCGCGCAGTACGCTGTGAGTAGCCATTCCGCGTCATTTACCTCATCATCACAGCCAGGGGTTAGTGTAAGGAACGAGCACGCGCCCCTGGAGCCGAGGATGTCTATGCGCTCCAATTATCATACTCACGCATGCGCAATACTACTGATGAATGCGTATTCCAGAGAGACATAAATTTACGCTACACCTGTCGCAATTTGGAGGACGCTAGCGCTGTCGCCAAGGAACAACTGGTCTTGATTCAAGACGTCACCACGTTATAACCCGTAGAGTTAAACCATAGAGCTGTAAATACTATATTATATTTTGTTGATGTGCCCTTTTATTTCTAACGTGGCGCACTTGGATTTTTCACCTGTAGCGCCTAGATAACTGAAATTTCACAGAACATGAAATTTCATCACGTTCTAAAAACACTCTTGTTCATAAACGCGAGATTATACAAAGAAATGTATTTCCGCGTGATTTTCCGATTTTTATTCAAAGTCTACAGTGAACCCTCAGTGAAATTGCCCCCAAAATAAGCAGTGTTGTAGTACTCGTACTCGAATACTACTTGCGTACTTTTTTGGAGTATCGTATACTCGCACTCGAATGTCAAAGTACTCGTACTCGATAGCTCGTACTCGGACGTTCAAGTACTCGTACTCGGAGACCTGTTCTTGTATGTACTCGGAAGCACAAGTACTAGTAGGTACTAGGTACTCGGCAGTACTCGGTACTCGGCAAAAAGTACTCGACTACAACACTGCTGTGCACCTACATGTCTTCAAGAAAAGTCATGGGCAGATTTTTATTTTATTGTTTTTAAGGTATAAAGTCATCATACCACTAAATTGCATAATAAATTTGTAACTGATGCTTTTTCCAAGAAAAATATGCAAACAAATCAAATGCACATAAAGAAGTACCTTTTATAAGCCAAACATCACCAGGAAGAAACGTGACATTCATAGAAAACGATGAAGATTTGACTAAAAAGGCTGATATCCTGGTCCTTACATCTATTAGCAACAACTTCAAAATGAAACGGAAGTTCAGGAATGAATTTGATTTTTTGGGCCATGTCCCTGTTTGCTTGGAATTGCCCATATGTACGGACGAATAATCGAACGCCTTGACCAAGGCTAGAATGACATAAAAGCCGTACTTCTATTTTAGAAGCCGATGCTAAGGGCGGATCCAGAACACAACTTGTTTTTTGTGGTCCCCCAAAAAGTGAGTCCCTGGCGTGGGGTTCGGTGCCCGTTTAACGGCCCCAAATTATTTTGGATTTTATATGCTCTGTGGTGCGATCTGACCACTTTGAGTAAAGGATTGTAGTGTATGCAGTGACTGCGGCCTTTATTGCCACGTCACTTTGGGTTCTTTTTTTGGGGGGGGGGGCATGGTCCCCGTTGGCCCCTTCCCAGATCCGCCCTTGGCTGACGCCGACTTGTTATTTTATTGGAATTGTATATTTGGCGACTAACCAAAGTCAAGCCGCGTTCGCACTGGACTTTTTAGGGGGAATAAAAACGGGGTCTACCCGATGTTCCCCAATACCTATGTTCCCCAAAACCGATGTTCCCCGAAATCCTTAGGATTAGGGTTAGGGTTAAGGTTAGGGTTAGGGTAAGGATTTCGGGGAACATCGGTATTGGGGAACATAGGTATTGAGGAACATAGGTATGTACCCATAACAAAAAATCTAGTTTGCTCAAGGTTTAACAAATCATTAGTCAAGTGCCTCTCCTATCGTTCTTAAATATTATTTTTCTTTAAGGCCTATAGATTAAAAAAGAAGGGTGGGCATTTCTCACTGATAAAAACACCAACATTCTGCTGGTGAGGGTTTCTTATACCCAAACAACTTGGAGAAGCCCAAACAATCTAACCTCATTTCCCGCTTAAACAAATTCCGCCTTGATTTTTTACTAGTAAACAAAAATTAAATTTGGTTCATGGTATCAAACGTTCATTTTTCTGCTAGTGGAAATTCTGAAATTTGGTTTGGTCATAAACGCAATTTCCGATTTTCTGCTATTATTAGGCCTATAGTGGGAATTTGGAAATTTGCTTTGGTCGTAAACACAATTTCTGATTTTCTGCTAGACAGTAAATTCGGAAATTTTGTTTGGTCGTAGACGCTTTTTCCAATTTTCTGCTCGTAGAAATCGGAATTGTTGATAATAGAAAACTAACAATTCAGAAAGAGGACTCCGTTTCAACCATAATTCTGTTTCTGTTCTAGCAGAATGTTGAGAAAATGGGTTTACGGTCTTCCACTTCGAAATAACTTCGCGAAATCACGCCAAAATAAATTTCTCTGCTTAATTTGTTACCGGTAGATAAACACGCAATTAATGAACAAGATGTAATGTTAAGAACTTAATACAATTTCAATTTCTTTAAAATTTCAAGTAAATTAGTTTGCTCTAGCAATAGGCTACAGGCGAAAGATCAAAGTGTATGAGGCGCCCTTTATGACTTTATTACGAAACAAAGATATATATAGAACGACACAAATATTTATAGAACGAAACAAATATATATAGAACGAAACAAATATATATAGAACGAAACCAATATATAGAGAACGAAACCAATATATATAGAACGAAACCAATATATGTAGAACGAGAAAAATATATCGAGCGAGAATTAAAATAATTATATAAAACGAAGCAAGTTGCAAATGGACTCAATTTAGGGTGACTGTAAGGTCAATGCCAAATTCTGCTAGATGTACTTCCAAAATCTGATTGATTAAACAAAAATCTGCCAAATCACTTATGATTTACACGAAATACATTATAAACACCTATACTCATATGCAGATGTTATAAAATGTCCTTAACCCCCCCCCCCAACAACAACAAAATTATGAAATTTCCTTTACAAAAAAGTTATTATTCTTTTTTTAAATGGCTCTTGTCTAGCCTGGTTTCCAATGTCTACAGTACTTTACTGTGTTCTCGTACCTCAACGCTTAGACTGGCCAAAAAAGCTCCTTTTTTTGAGGAAATCAGCTCTGCTATATTTTGCCGTCCAAATCACCAATTTTGCAGAATTCTGCTAGATATCTGCTTAAAAAAAATCATTTGCTAGATTTTCTGTGAAACTTTTTTTCTTCAAAAACTGCTATATTTTCCCGTCAAAATCACCAGTTTTGCAGAATTCTGCTAGAAATCTACTAGAATCAATTCAATCTTCTAGATTTTTTGTCAAACTTATTTCCCCCCCCCCCAAAAAATGTCAAATTTAGCCGAAATTCGGCTAAAACGGTCAACCCTATTGAAACGTTAAATATATAACACGAAGCGCCCGCTAAATACATAGAATCAAACTTTAAAATACATAGATCGAAAAAGTAAAATAATTATGGGTGCAGACCAGTAAATCGGCCCGAAATTGCCTGCGCCGGCCAAATCGCGATTTGCATGCCCTCAAAATCTTCGGTATTTGAGCATGCTGTGGGCCATGAACTTGAAGGTTTGTAAAAAATATGGGTGGAAGCCGTGCACAGGACTGGGAGCTTGCAGTTCTGTGTAAATTGGATGTAATTTGGACCCTAAAAGCGCTCTATTTTGCAATGGAGTGTAGGCATCGTTTTTCAAAATGGCGATGGGCTTCAGGACTATTTTCAGGGGTGATCGTCTTCAGATTGAAGTTTCTCCTAAAAGTTATCAGTTGACCCCCCGTAAATTGAACAGAAAATGAAAGATGATGAAATAAGCTTTAATTTGATGTGTGTCTCGAACACCTTGGAGAGTTGTGAGTATTTTTCCCGAATTTTTGAAGTGGGAGCATTTACCATTGGGGTCTATGGAAGTTTATTTACTGGTCTGCTACCTTATATAGATCGAAGCGCCCTCTACCGTCTACCTACGGAGAGTGAACATCTGTGGTCTACATGTGTTGATACCACTGATCTCTATATAAAGACTGGATAGCGGATAAGCATACAACATTCACACAGTAGACTTCGCATATATATATAGTTCGTCCTTCGAAATTCGAAGATGACAGCCAACATCTCCATACTAGTTGGTGTTGTGTGTTCGCAGATGGCTAATAAGTCCAATTCTAGCCAGGAAGCTACGGTCCTACACTGGACACACTAGGTTGGGGGTGGGGGTGGACACGTAGGGAAGCATCTAGCTGACGAGATTTTCGTTGCTGTCGTTTCAGCTCAGCCTCCCTGATGCGACGGGCTTCGAAGCTTGATGCACCTTCGTGTGATAATCTTCTCCATGCCGTTCGATCATGGGCATGTTCTTCCCAGCTACTCACATTGAAGTTGCATTGCTTCATGGTTGCTTTAAGGCAATCCTTGTATCTCTTGAATTGACCACCAGCCGATCTTTTGCCTGTTGTTAGTTCACCGTAGAAGATCTTTTTGGGGAGTCGATCATCAGGCATCCGTACTACATGACCTGACCAGCGAAGTTGAGCTCTCATGATCAAAGCACCTACACTGGGCAATTCC